AAATAGATGACACCAGAAATTTTTATGACCAGGACAGCCAGCTGGCTTAGATAGATTCCCTAGTACTATTGTAAACAAATAAAACGGGTACCTGTAATGGGATCATTATGCATATTTTGAATGAATTCTGATTTCTTCATCTCTTTCTCTACTTCTTCCTCCTACGTTCTCTTCTCTATACTTCTCTAATCTCTCGTAACCATAACAATTGGTATCAGAGCCATCATTTCCTGGAAGCTTGAAGCAAAGAACCAAGGCATGACAGACTTCATTAATCTTTCTGCGATTCAGAGGCAGCTTGACGATCTCACCAAGATGATAAAGCATATAACGGCTAAATCAACTCCTCCAAAATGGTGGGAAGCACAGAATGCTCGCATACTGATTTGGAGACGGAAATGGATGCAACCCAGAAATCGATGGAGCAGATCTTCCAGATTCTGGCTAGTACAATAAGTGAGCAAAAACAAAAACAGAAGGGATGTGGAAATGTGTCTCAGGTGTTCGATAAAATGCAAGCAAAAGAAACTGAGCCATTCATCATTGAATCATCCAGCCTCTGTGATGGTCAAGATCCTGCAGAAACTGAAGTTGAGCAGAAACATGCAATGGAAAACGATATAAAGGCTACTATAATGGATGATGCTTATGGTAAGAACATTTACCCTGTCTATACACTTGAAGAAGCTTGCTTTATGCCCAAAACTAAGCTAGAAAGCATTGAACCACCACTTAAATGTTATGCTGAAACTGCAATGATACTTCATTGCAAAGGGCATAAAATGTTTGAGAAAATGTTAGAGCTTCAGCATTGCGTAAACCATAGCAGTAGTGACAAACTTCTCAGTCATGGTGCTGAAAAATTCAGCAAATGTGAGTCTAAAGGGGTACGCATCCACTGGTTAAATCAATACCAAAGTCTGAAATCTTACCTCAACATGGATAAAACCAAAATTTGGGAGGAGCTGAATCTGAAACAGAGACTTCTCCAAAATCGAATGCAGATTCCAGATGAACTGAGAAAGAGAACCACTATTTATTATGATACGGGATGGAGGGTGGACCAATATCAATTGAGGAATATTGGAAATCTAGACCAAAGTCTTCTTCTACTGTCACGCGTGTCGTCTTTGAAGACAAAACTTCTGCAGTTTTTGTTAGAGGTCTCTGATGGCCAGGAAAAAGAATCAGCTTCAACTTTGGCTTTTGAAGATGCAAATGTGGAAGCCAAAAAGGGGAAAGAATTGTTGACTGACTCGAAAAAGGTGTGGGTTCAGAAAAATATCGATACATGCTTTTACCACTTGACTAGTAAAAAGAGTCAACAGGAGCAAATGAATCCAAAAAATGACCAGCAAAACAGTAACCAACTGATTATGCAAGAAACTCTCAAAGTCGAGCCCTTTGACATTGCGAGGACAACCTTATCACTTGAACTTACTGCCTTTATACATGAGACAAATCAACGAAGAGCTTCCCTTTCTGTTGGAAGTCCATGCGAGATGGTTGACAACAGACAAAGCTTTTAGGATGGATTAGCGGCAGTTGTAACATGAAAGACAGTACCATCAAAGAAAGCAAAAGCAATTTTGATGTCTCGTACTTATTCATTTGCTGGAAATTTTGAGAGCTCGATCAATCAACCCATGAAGCTTGCTGAAAATTTTGTTGCTGCTAAACATACTTTGAAGCAAACAAGTTCAAATCTTGAATGGCAGAAAGCTTTGCTTGAGTTATTGGATGGGGATCCTGATGCAGGTGGTCTGAAGATTGAAGAATCGCCTTCCTTTGAGATGAAAACATACCGAAGTGCTGCTCACAGTTCCACTAATACAACATACTCTGTTGATGCTAGCAAGAATGATAATCAAGACTTTGAGCAGCAGAGTTTCTTCAATGATGCAATAGAAATTTTAGATTGGACTAGAGACGTGACATCAATTCTCGGAATTCCTATTTGTGCTATTGATGATAGGCTTGCTATGGGGTCATCTTCAAAGGGCCTATGGAACAACATATTACAGACAAATTGTGGACAAAAGCTCCAACTTGAATATAGAATATCAACTCACCAAATCTATGACACGAATATAGCCTTGCATTTCACCAATTCTGTCCATGTGAGCACACGTGTTGCTGATCCATGCAATGATAGTACCTTGCCTTTGCATGTAACAATACTTTCTCTAGTGAATGCCACATTAAATGTTAGTAAAGCTTAGCTTAATCTTCAAGATGGGTTTGCTCATATTGAACAAAGTGATGGAAGATCAATTTTCGCTTTTCTTCCAGTCAAAATATCTCTAAATTCAGGAGAAAAACTTGCATTCCATGTAGGCTTCGGGAGGGGAACTACTAACGATGAAAATAAACTACAACCTAAAAGTCTGTTAAACATTACATGTAGAAATTATGGAGATATGAACAGTGGGGGACACTCACCTACAAATGATAGCGAGGGTACTATTTAGAATTTCATCTTTCGAAGTGCTATAATCTGGCAGCAGCAAATCCTCGATCTATGTATGGATGTTGGGTTTCTACCTCTTCCTTCTAAGGGTCTTAGAGTTGGACAACTAGCTACCTTGAAATGGAGAGTTGAGAGATTAGGAGGCGTCGGGGAGAGTAAAATTCCACAAAACAATGATGAGGGGTTGTCCGAAGTGAAGGTGAAGTCCGATAAACCACCTACTATGTTATGGTATTTAGAATTTATAGTGCAGATTGTTCAAGATATGTTACAATACAAAGAGCAATGGAGGCAGATTACTAAAGTACAACTACAACAGACACATAACATAATGAAACAACATGTTGATACAAGTTACAGTCAATGACATTTTCAAATGGAAAAAGAATACCTACAAATGCAACCTTATAGGCAGGCAACCCTAGCATTCAAAAGAAATCTTCAATTAGCAGCATGTTTTTATAGGCATCTTAAGATTACTGAAAAGATTGGAGAAGTGACTTCCAAACTTGACTTACTAGATCATGTACAAATCCATCTCTTCTTTCGGGAGAACTGGCTAAAGAGGAAATTTGGCGAAAGGGCAGTGGCGGCTACTGAACCTTCTCAGGTGATAAATGATGGACAATGGAAAGTGTTTCTTGAGATGTTTTTGGATAAATGGATCGTTAAGAAATGCGTTTGCACAATTACTCAACTAATCGTGAGATGGACGAACTTCAACTTCGGTCACAATAATTGGGAAATTTGTATAGTTTTCAGGGCTCGGGATCCTAATTTCAATCCTTGGGGATAAGGATCTACTCATGGAGGGGGTAATGTCATGCACAAGAGAAAAGGCAGAGAAGAAGAAGTTAGACTCGAAGAAAGGAATTTGGGAATTACTAAGGAAGGGTTAGGGATTGCAAGTAAATCAATTGGGAAATTTGGGGATTAGAAGACAGAGGAGAGTGCACGTAGGAAACAAGTGATTATTAAAACAATAGATACAAAAGGGAAGTCCATTACCTATGCAGCAAGAACAGGCCTGCAATCCTCCAGCCCAAAGGAAATAGATGACACCAGAAATTGTTATGACCAGGACAGCCAACTGGCTTAGATAGATTCCCTAGTACTATTGTAAACAAATAAAACGGGTACCTGTAATGGGATCATTATGCATATTTTGAATGAATTCTGATTTCTTCATCTCTTTCTCTACTTCTTCCTCCTACGTTCTCTTCTCTCTACTTCTCTAATCTCTCGTAACCATAACACATTTGCCTTCTCTAAGAGATAGAAGCCAGCTAGTGGCCCTTGCTCGATAAAAAGCTAATAAGACTTCTAAAGAAAGATAAACTTTTTTGCAATTTTATTATTTTTTAACTCGTAGGACAACTTTAGTAATAGAATATAATATTATTTTCTTTAGAGATTTTGAAGTGAAACAATACATATACATCATTAATAATTAATAAAAATTTTAAACATATATTATCTTATATTAAGATTTAAAAAAATATTCTTAGTTTTCTCGCTACCCAATTATTTACCACGGGTAATCTTCCAATGTTATTTGACATCATCAATTCCATTGGTCCAAAATGACAACAGTGTCCATTGTAATGATTGAGAGCCTGATCGCTATCCTTTGTTGAAATTATATTTAGTTTAACGAAATTGACGAGAAGACGTGTAAGATTTATTTTTTCCAATTTTTTGAAAGCCAATTATTTAAAAAGTGCACTTTTTCCAATTTTCTTTTTTAGATCCAAAATGACAACAATATCCTTCATTGTATTATTTATTTTGAAAGCCATTTTTTTACTTTTTTTCATTTCAATTTCTATTTTTGGTAATAGTTCATTTCAAATTCAGATTTTGTATTAAGAGGTAAAAAAGGTTGCAAAGATATTTTTCCTGGTTTTGTTTAGTTTTTACTGGTATACACAATGGATTACAAAAATATAGGATGTGAAGTGAATCCTGAAATAAGAGTTCTGTGAAAGAAACAGCTCATCCTCATCAATCCTAAGATGAGAAAAATCCATTTGTTGGGCACATCTTCTCGCTTTTTGTGAAAAAAGAGGCTTTCGTTAAATACAGGAGAAATCCTGCTTAACAAACCTTTTGGATCTACAAACCTGGATTGCTAAACCAATATAATTTCTACACGTAGCAATTAGGAATTTTTCTATACCAGACCGTTTCTCACCATACCATTCACACTTTCTCCGAAAAAAACACATCCAATTTCCTACAACGGCTTTAATGGTCCAAAAAGAACAGCACACAGTATCAATCAGGTGGTCCTAAGCTAACCTCATTAGCAGGGCAGGGCTCTCATCACATCTATGAAAAATACACTGTCCAAACTGCTCAAAATGCTGCACATCCATCTTTCCACACATCTTTTATTTCTCAAACGTTAACAAGCTGATTCCTTCATTAGGCGCAGTTCTTGGATACTAAACTTCGTTAGTCCTCAACCATCAATAACACCACTTTTGAAGAACGAAAGAACAAATAAACAGAAAAGATAGCGAAAAGGATAAAAAGAGATTAATCTTGCATTTAATAGGGCAGCCTTTAAAAATTGTACAGTTCATTTTACTTCAGACTCATCCGATTCAGGTAAACTGGCTACTTTAAGGTGTTCCACTACAAAGACTTACACAACCACAAAAAATGTTCCATGAATTCGAGAAAGAAAGCTAATCAACTTACTAAGGATGTCGGGGCAAATCATCAATTCCGTAGTACAATTTGTAAAGAAACATCATGCTCACAGCCTCACACAAGCAACAGACAGAGGCCTCCAACAAATTGTTGACGCCCCTTCTGTTTTTCTAAAGATGCTAGAAGAACCTCAACGCCTTCCTGAAGATTGCATCACCTGGGAAACACACCTACAGAGCCTTATAATCCTCAAATATCCAGCTCTAAGGTTCTCAACCGCTGGTTTGATTTCAGCCGAGAGTGCTTGATGCTTTAAGTTTTTTGTCCCAGTGGCGGGAGTCTGTAAACTATAAGGTAGGATATCTGATGGATAGACCCCACTGTAAGAAGCCGAGAAATAAGAAAAGTATAATTAGTTGACAAATTATATCTAAACATATCTGCCTTGATGCTTGTTGATGCATAATGTTATATTTTACAATGATGATAGAACACACAACAGTCATCAAAAGTGCACAAAACTAATATTTGTATATTTAGACAATTACAGGATCCACTTGAACATGTAAACAATCATAATCTAAATTTCATTTATAAAACAATCTGACCCACAACTGGAAAACAATGATGACCTACAAAGATCTCAATGTTGATGCCACTTTAACGGCAAGTCTAATAATAAAACATTCAAGATACAGTAATCAGTCAATCCAAAGCTAAGCAGCAAACAGAACACATACTCTAAAATTATTCTTTTGAAATACAAATAGTTTTACTGGGTAAAAGAAAAAAAAATTGAAATCTAAATTAATTACTCAACCAAACTAATCCATAGAACTTAATAAAAAATCAACATAACAACCACAAACTCTTTGGAAAAGATCAAAGCTCAATTTGGTCTGGATATATTATACAGCCATTACAAATTAATCCATTCTCAGTACAGCATATATTTCTCAACCACATGAAAAGACCATACATCCAAACCAGGCAATTCAGAGTAGTGCCGAGGCTGAATTTCGAGCACGCACTTCAGGAATTTGTAAAGGGATATAGATTCAAATGCTATTAAAAGTGTTAAAGGTTGATTCAAAGGATCAGTTCAAGATACAAAGAGAATCAATCAGCCACAAGCATTGCTAAAAACCATGATCATCATGACCGGACAAAACATGTGGAGAACTGGAGATTAGCAGACACTTTATTTCAGAACAATGAGACTTTGGAACTAAACTAAATTATATTCCTACTCAACAACAGCTTGCCGATATTCTTTCCAAAGCCCTTCCAAGAATGAGCTATGAAGAACTCAAGTCCAAGCTGTCATAATTTAAAAGCTATTAGAAAAAGTGTTTACTTGTACTTAATGATTAGGACTTATCTTCTTAGAAGATAAGGTAAGCTTTTTTTAGGATATAAAGGTTAGGAAAAAGATATCTAGTTAAATTTTACTTTTGTAGTTCTCATCCTATAAAAGCAGGCTGTTTTTTTTTTCAGCAATCAATTAGAATAGATCTTATGTTCTCTCTTCATTTGAATTCTCACTTTCTTTCTTAGAATATTTACAAATTATGTACAAGACTTTACCAGTAGCAAACTAAACCATTCTCGTTGGAGGATAAATTTCAGATATAAGATAAAGCATCAGACTTACAAAATGCTTATCATTGAAAATGTTCAAAAAACAATTTACGCAAGACTTTACCAGTTCAAACACGTCACGTCAAGAGTCATTGTCACCTTTGTACCACTTTCAAAATCAACGAAAGAAAGCTGTAAATCCAACTGCTTAGCTGCAAAGCATAGAGGTGTTATCAAGTTTCAATCTGATAAAACATGTCTTTTCAACAGACTATGTTCAAAAGTAGTTCACTCAACAAAGATTTTACTTTGCCAGGCCATGTATGGTTATGCAAAAACCATTAACCATACAACAACAACAACAAAAAAAAAACTAACAGGATGAGATAGAGGCATTAAAACTTTGAATGGTAAGCACATAAGAGACTCTACCTTGAGTATGTCCAACAGACTGAAGAAAGAAACCTAACCATTATTTGTTTCATGACTGTTATTCCATCCTACCACTAGTAAAAAAAAATTTAGGGTAAACTGCATATTTAGTCACTCATCTATTCGGCAGTTCCATTTGGTCACCCAAATACTTTTCTTTCAAAATCATACCTAATGTTACATTTTGGTTCCATTTTCGTCACCCGCCATTAAAAAATTAACGGCAATGCTTCCGTGTAACCATAAGGTGATGTCATGTCATCATTGAAAATAAAATTGGCACATCAGCAGTTATGTTTATTTTTTAACGTCAGGTGACCAAAACGTAACGTTAGTTATGATTTTGGGGAAAAAAATAGTTGGGTGACCAAAACGGAACCGTGGGAACAGGCGGGTGACTAAATACATAGTTTACCCAAAAATTTATCTATGAACCTCAAATCAGTAAACTCCATTTCAGTAGATAATAATAAAGAATTAGGACAGTTTCAAGGCCGGAAAAAACACGAACAAGCTTCAAAATGTAATATTTTTAACGAGAAAGTGATCCAGTCATCAATCTTGACTTTGGTAGTTTGGTTTCAAGAAGAAAAGAACCAAATTGCGAAGAACCTTCTGCCGTGGTACCAAGAGGCTTGGTTTAAACCTTAGCAACCCAAAGCCCACCCCAAAATACAAACATAAAAGAAGAATTAAATTGCAAATTTTCCAAAGCCAATTGATTCAAGGATTTAAACCATGTTGTTACTAATAACACAATGACGAAAAAAATGTACCTGATGGAGAGTGAAAGCTAGCAAGTGTCATATTTCTAATCTCCAACCGTGCTACCTGTACTTCCTCAACGACATCAAGAAGATTTCTTAAAAGTGAACCAGTTCTCTGCATAATCAGAAAAAATAAAATGAAAAAAGTATCAACCACTGCATTCTGGAACGCTGAAATTTCTGAGATAAAGGAGATAGTGCACAAGGAAAATATCCAAGCAAAGTTGACAAGCAAGACCAGAGAAAAGATAACTGCAACAATTTACAGGCACTTGCACAAAATCTGAAATATATAATATTATCTGATTCATTCTAGTACAACGACAAATCAAAGCATAAGCGAGGTGTACTTTTCTGATACAAGTTCAACTGAAATAAGTTGTTTATTTCAAAAGAGAAATGCAGGAGACTGTGAAATTCTGAGACAGGATTACTTACTTGTGTTTCCTGTGCCAAACTTTTGGGCCCAACATATTTCTTAGTAGATTCATGGTGAAAGACAAAATGAAATGCAGAGCATGCATCCATGTTTGGGAAGTTCTAATGACCAACATAAAAAATTTAAAGATAAGGATGAGAAATGAAATAGGGAAAAACTTGACTTCAGTTACGAGGTTGAGTTTGTTACCTCAATGATGTTCATATCATTCAATTTATTTGCAACAAAAACGCTTGAATTTCGGCCAGTATTTAATGCGAGACTGCAAATCACCGTATTGTAAGAATAAATGTAAAACTTTCCCGACATATTTGTCTTTGACATAAAAATACAATAACAAAAACCTCTGACAGATGAACCCATGGTAGTTGAGGATGACATTGTAATGGCCACTCCTATTCTGCAAATCGTTAACCTCCCACAACTGAAGAAATAACAGAGAAGTTATGCATCTTGTCACAAAATAATTTTGGTGTTTTGAGGAGAATAACAGCGAGAGTTAAACAGACCTGAATACCCTGGCGTATAAATCTGCAACTAGTTCTCTTCTTTAGATGGTCATTGACCAATTCAATAGTACCAGAACCAGAAGAACTCAGTTCTCCTTTTATCTTGCAGCAAATGTGAAAAGACTTGGTTAAATTTTTTATTTTTTCTTCCAGACCTTCAAGCTCATCCTTCATTGTGCCAATTTTACCACTGGCTCCCTGTACCAAAAACTTAACCAAATATCAATCAACCACATCTTTTAGAACAATATAAGAGGCAATGTGTTATTCAACTGTAAAATACAACATTTTAAGAAAATATGAACCATAAAAACTGAGAATGTTGATTTTGGTATAGTTGATAGAATTATAAGAGCATTATTCAGTACAACAGATTTAAAAGCACTCCACATAGTCTCTCAGGTATGCTTTAAAGTTTAAACTCAGTAGTATTTCACAACATGTAGAAACCATGCCTTAAAACATAAAGATATACTTTTACTAATTTGAACAATTAACATGGCATACACAAATTATATAACCGGTGCAAACATTGTTATTCAAACTGAAGGCATACAGAATTAATCATATAAAAAAACACAAATATCACACTGTAAAATAGAATTTTTAAGAAAATATGAGCCAGTACCTTCCAAGATAGTAATTCTAATTTAAGTAAATTCTTAGCCACTCAAATATCTTTGCAAGAAATTAAAACACTATTAAAATGAAAATTGGGAGCCGTACAAACGTAACTTCATGTGGGTTTCATTTCAAAAGGATGTAGCAAAGAACTTAAGGGTAGATCCATATCTTGTAACAGATGAGGGTACCTTAAGAGTGTTTCCAAATGTAACTGAACATGAATTATCGCCAAGCTTAGTGTCCTTTTCAGAAGAAGCAGAATGATGTTTGACAAAATTTAACTTCAACATTTGAGACTCCCGAACTCCAGTTCTAAGTAACTCTACCTGTTTCTGAAATGAGAAAAATAGGCAGGTACTAAAGAGTAGGTATTTGAGAGATATGAAGGAAAAAAAAGAAAGAGAGAAAAGAAAATACCAGCAATCTTTCACGCTTCACGTGCATCAACTGCAATTTAGCCTTACCATAGACTATTCTGCAAAGGACTCGTCTTGTTTCAGCTACTCTGCAAGGGCATCATTTCAGCAACATAAATTTCAATATTAACTACGGAAACCAATATTAGTCACATTCATGATACAGCCATGATAGAGATCATAAAGTGGAACAACCTCTTATGTAGAATATTGCAGGATTGATTGTATGCCTGATGAGAGCCACAAATAAGAGTGGTATTAGCATTATGATGGTGTAGTTTGGTTAGAGTACAGGGAAAATTAGTAACCCAGCAAAACATAAATTGGCAATTTAATTACCGAGGAATGCTGGGATTGGATTTCAGAACAAAGCATCTCTAATATGTAAACCTTCTGCTGATGAATCAATTTATCTTCCAACATGTTTATCTGCACATACAAATTATAGAGGAAAGAAAAAAAGGTAACTTTTACATGGGAATTTTGGTTATGAAAGATGTTCTCACAATTTATAACCCGAAAGCCTTGTAAAGGATACAGTAAAATTAGAAAAACAAGAAATGTACCATTTTTAAATTTAGTTTATCGAAACATGGAGACAATTGCTGGTTCGTATCTGCTGATAGTTTGAGAGAAATCTGCAATATAAGTTCGATATCAAATTCAAAAGGAAATATAAAAGGACAACATAACATTATATACCAGCAAACCTGGAAGTGCAACAAATTAGCAATTATACGTACATCAGTCCAATTCATCAATATCTTGCCACCGTCAATCCTTTCATTTTCTAGGTTACTTTCACATGAATATTCTGATGTGTGCTCCATATTTTTCTCTCCAACTTTACAGAATTTTGGACTCTTCTGCATCACATTACTATTATCTGAATGGTGCACATCTACAATAGCTATTTCTTCACTTGTCCTTTTTCTTTTTGATGAGCTTTGGATGTCTTGGACAGGACTTGGATTAGATCTTCCATGACAGTCATCAATCCTCTGTACATTTGAACTGCAGTTAAGAGATACCACATCTTTTGCAACCGAGAGTTGCATATTATCACCATATAATGCATTATGCATTTCTTTCCTACAGGGGCTTAGACTTGGCTCTTTTGAAGTGGGACTCTGGGTTTGCCTCTTTCTAGAGGATCTCTGAGAAATCATTGCACAAGAGTTTAAATGTCAGACATTGTATCACTTAAGAGATAGTATTGACCTAAAACCAGAAAGATCTGATTGCATTGCAGTATGCTGTGACTGACACGAAAGATATATAGAAAGATGTATACCTTTTGAGGTGACCTCTCAATTTTACTTGTATGTGAACCTGGGGAAGCGTAAACAGAAGAAACTTTCCTCTGTTCCTCGACAAAATATTCACTGGAACAGGTTTTTTCAACTGTAGTCTGGATATTTTTCTGTGGGCCTCCTGACGGCAATTTCAAGGTAGCACCATCATGGAAGTTCTTCGAGGTCGAGAAAGTATTCTGCAAATCCAGTCCATTATGTCCCCTTTCGTTCACTATTTTTACTGTAGCAACCACTGCACTGGGCGGTGTTCTTTTTCCAGATATTGCAGTTAAATTATTAGAGCTAGGAACTGTTTCTACTGAGTTGCATTCTCGTTTAGAAACAATAACGGCGCTATTATCTTGATCTTCAAGCTTTAAATCGCCATACAGACTACGTTTATGTCCCATTGGTGATGACAACTTCTCATTTAACCTGTTAACTAGAGGGAAAACATGCTTATAAAGTCTATCAGTATCTCTCTTATCTTTGCTGAATTCATGTGTGATTGCCTTTGGTGAGGAATTAAATGCGGAAGCTACTAATCTGGAATCTGCATAATCTACTGATATCAATGAATGATTTGTCACTTTCTGTCCTGCTAGAGTGAAATTAGAAGGTGAAGTAGTTTTGGCCATCATGTCAGTAGCTTTATCATTATATTTTTTATCTTCTGCAAGTCCTGTGGTCTCTCCATCTTGGCCCAAACTACTAGAGTTTTTTGCAGTTCCAGGGTCAGTGCAATCTTTCACCCCCTGCTTCAGACCAACACCAGAAAACTTCTCTAGATTATTAGTGGGGGCAGTTTCCTGTTGACGTTGAAGACCCTCAATCATTTCCTCCATAATAGTGTCAAATGAACAAGCACTAGTAGAAAAGGACTCTGATAATCCAAGTTTTGACTTGGCAGCTCCCTCCTTGAAAGCAGAAGCACCAGAAGAAGGCTCCGGAACTTTTAACTCAGAATTACTTTTAGGAATGGATGCCACACTCCCACCTTCTTTTATACTTCCCTTTCTCAAAACAGAACCTGATTGTTTTGGGGAAGGAGTAACAAATAGAGAACGTTTGGGTGCATTAGTAGCATCCAGAAGAATTTGTTGTCGTTTAGCAGATAATGAGTGTATGGACCCTGCTAATGGGGACTTATGCAGTTGACCAGAAGCATGATCAATATTATGAGTACGTATTTTATCCTGAGGAGAATTTTCTTTCAAGCCATCTTCAGTTGGTAGCTGATTTTCATTTTCAAAATGTTTGACCAAATCTAACTGAACAGCTTCGCTACTCTGGTTCACAGGAGTACCATTAGTGATAGATATCGACTCAGAATTCAACACACTTGTTCCAAACCAAACTTCAGAAATCTTGTTGTCTACCTGAAATTGAAACAATAAGAAAACAGTGCAAATGCATGCCTTAGTTCCTCCTGAAGAAAATGGAGATAATTACAAAACAACAATTAAGCATATAAATGTCATTTAATATCTCCACCTAAGGGTGTCTACAGAGGAAATATATGAAATTGTCTCAGCGAAAACTAGTATGGTAACCCTTCATGAGTTGACAAGTGCAAAAATAGTTGCATCCATGACATGTCATTGTGATGAAACACAGATTCCTAAATTGAACAGAATTACATCCTGGGTTTCAAGAAGAGAAAGCAAGACAATTCTGTGGATGTTAGGATCCAAAAGAACAGTATAAATGAAAACTACAAGAATTCCATCGTGCTACAATAACCCATATTAATCTACTCACTGAAATTACTGAATCGAAGTACTAAAAATAATATAACCAAAATCTTGAGGAAACAATCCTAGGTACCATTAGACTTAAGGGTGAGTATTCGACTGAGTCAAGTCAAATTGAGATTAAAAAAAAACTGAGTTAGTTGAATTGAGGGTGAGAATTCGACTGAGTCAAGTCTTGTGTTATCAACCAAACTTGATTCGAAATTTTACCGAATCAAGTCAAGTCAAATAAAGCTATTGGAGTTGAAGTAAATATTCAGTTATATTTAAGCATGATAAAGCAATAATCATAAAATTTCACATGACTTGCGAGCCCACTTAAAAATTAGAAATCACCAATAACATGAAACACACAATTTTATGTGGAAAATATAAATAAAAAAAAGGTAAAAATCAAGGGATTTAAAATTCCACATGAAAAGCTCACTGTAACCACAATATTAGAAATTTTCAGCTATCACAATAAGTATACTACTCTCAGCTATCAACATGTGATTTAAAAACAATGATAGAGAGTTAAGAAATTTCAGGAAAAAAAACAGGACTTTTATTTGGGCTATAGATCAAGAGGCTATACTGGTTAGGTTACTAATACGGCCTTTCAAAACCAACATCTATGATCGTCTAGCCGTTGCAAAAAAAATCAACTCAATCACACCACGGATGGCCTTTCAACCATTGACTTGATCAAAACTGTGCACAAGAAGACTTTGAATAACTCAAACTATTTAACTCATATCATTTATTTGAGTTGACAAAAAATTTGAATAATTCAAACTATTTAATTTGAAATTTGAAAATGTAATTGATTTTTTTTCAAATCAAGTAGGATTTTGCTCACCCCTAATTAGATTGATAGTATAACATACTGTGTTCACTGAAATTACCAAATTAAATTACTAAGAACAAGATTACCAAAAATAGAGAAAAGTAATCTAGGTAACATTAAGTTGATAGGAGAACGCACTTCGTTATGCTGATTAGGAATTTGATGATCAACAAAATCTTCAGTAAGAGTGGTTGCTGAATCACTTGTTGCCTCAACCAGTTTGTTCTGAGCACTAGAAATGCCCTTACTAGATAAATCATTGTCGTCATGGACGCAAAGCTCTGAATGTGAGGATTCCATACATTCATTACCATTACCATGAGATACGACAACCATTGACGATTTTGGAATAGTAGGATCAGTAGGGATGGTATTAAATTCACTGCCTTCAACCAAAAGTGCTTCTAATGTGGGACAGAGCTTCCCATAATCATACCTATGCATGCTTTCACCAACAAGACTCATGTCATTGGAATCTCTACCACCACTAAATGTATCAATAGGTACAGGTGATGGGGACTTTAGCTTCCCTACTTTTGTTAATACCATTAAACTTTCCCGATCAGAAGATGTTGTAGCTTGGAAAGGTGTCTTCTCTTCAGAAGCAGGAGGAACTCCTGTTGAAGTATTGAGATCTCCTGGCTCTGATCGTGCAATGCTATGAAAATGCATCGAAAATGCTGTTGAATCCATTGTGATATCATGGTTATCATCCGAAGCAGCTGAATCAGATAACCTACCAGGTCGAATAAACTCTGCAGAGACAGGTCCAAAAAAGTTGTCTTCTGCAACAAGACATTGAAACAGACACTTAAAACCATGGAAATTACCAACACTGATCATTCTATTTATTAGCTTAAATAATTGGATTTCTCCTATAAAAAGAACATAAATAATTTTCTATCTCACAAACTTTAAGTAACAGGACATTACTCAAGGCTCTGTTCGATTGATGCCATTTTTCTTGTTCAGAGAATTGACATAAAGAAAAAGGCAAGGTTTTAAAAACAACATCACAATTGATCTAAAATGAGGAAATAATTGAAATGTAACACCAAGTATAACAAAATTTGTCTAAATATAAGTAAAATCCTGCACTTTGTAGTATAAAGTAATTGCATATGTTACCATAATCTTTCAAAAAATTTCTTTTCTTTTGTATTGAAATGCAATATTTGCTTCGCTTCTGAAAGCAAAAAGGCAAACAGCATGACAACCAACCAAACGGAAAATTGCTAAAAAGGAAAAATCGTATATACTAAAATTGATAAAAACATAACACACCATCAAACAAAATCGTTATATATAAAGTAAAACGGAGCATTTCACCATTCACCAAAACTAAATTCTTAACTTCTAATTACTGAAGAATTGAACACATGTATGTACTTTTATATTGAATTCGCAATTTATGCATTTTGCTTTCTATACCATGCCTGAAAAGTCTTTTTTTCAAACTAAAAAAAACGCTAACTAAAACTAACAATGCGGCCCAAACTGACCGTCATTAGAGGTAGCAGATCCAACTGTACTACTACCGCAAGGTGATGGCGTCTCCATTGGCCTAAAGAATGACTTACTACCACTCGAAAGGCCATCTTCATCATCATCACTATCCACCAAACCCTTAAAGAGACCCATGACTTCGTTTTCCCGTTCATTTGCGGGCTCCGGGGTAGAATCTGACGGGGTCTCGTAGTCGTCGTCGCGTTTGAAGATGTGGACAGACGTGATCTCGCGGTCGGCGAAGCTAACGCGGCGCAAACGTTTCCTCCTCAAGGCGATGCTTTCTTCGTCGGTTCCCTGAGTGTCGCATGGTGGTTCGTCGGGGAGTTTAGATGCCATTTCTAGCTGAGAAATTGAAGCGAGAGGGTATGAAGAAATAATTTGCTAATTAGGGTTCAGAATTGAAGTGCATCTTGCTTTTCTTGTGTTTCAGTGGCTTTGTGCGGGAAATATCGCGTTGGAAATAGGAATTTTGAATTTGCAGCTTGCCTATTCTTCATTTGTTTTTATCTCCTTTCTTTATTATTATTATCATCATTTTTACTTTGTGTTTTTCTTCTAAAGTTAAAATTATTTATGATATTAATATACGGTGATTTTATCGAAATATCACACGTACAGGTAATAATTAATTGTCAGATGACTTTTTTGACAAAGCGCGGATGATGGGGTTCTGTTCGAGCTGGCGCCACATCATGAAAGGTGTGGATCGCCATCCGCGTCTTATCTGAGCTGGCGCCACGTCGAGACAGACACAGTTCGCCATCCCACCTTTCAGGGGATTCTGACACGCGTACGTAAGGTGCAGATCGTCATCCGCGCCTTTTCTTTAATACCCCAACGTTCACTCCCACATTTATAGAAAACCCATCTACCCCCTCCCTTCTTCCTATAAATACCTCATCCCTTCTTCCTATAAATACCTCATCCCTTCTTCCTTCAATCACAACAAAAAACAACCTCCAAACCACACTCAAATCTCAAATTCTCTCATTCTTCTGAGTATCAATTTTTCTATTAAGAAGGTAAAATATTTTTATTGTATTATAATAAATCAATAATTTATTATTTTATTAAATTTTATTATACTAACTTTTTATCAATTTGTGTAGTTATAAAATGGAATATGGTTTGCTACGTTTAAATGAACATCATATCTCGAGACATTTTGCTGATACGGTAACAATTTTAAATTCTATTGTAATTTTAATTATTGTTAATGTTTTATTTATTTTATTTGTTTAGTATTAGTTTATATTTTAATTTCTATAATATTTATTAAATTAAGAGAGATAATGTATATTAGATTCATTCATTCGTAACCTTAAGTTAGAGATACATACTCGTGTATGGTCGTATTTAGTCGATGTTGGATTTGGTTACGTAGCAAAATATGAAGGGCAGTGTAACCTTGAATCCAACCTTATTTCTACATTGGTCGAGCGGTCGAGAGCAGAGACACACACATTCCATCTTCCGTGTAGAGAGTGCACAATTATGATGGATGATGTTTTCATGCATTTGGGGCTTTCGGTAGATGGGGATATGATTTCTAGGGTGGCGCATGGTGACTGGCATTTCTTGTGAGATGAGTATCTTGGAGGTGTCTCGTCTAATTTCAGTAGTGGTCGAATTCCGTTAAATTAGTTGGATACAACTTTCAAACATTTGAGTGGAGATGCCTCCGAGGAATAGGTTAAAATGTATGCATGGGCTTGCATACTATAACTCATAGGAGGGCTCCTGATGTCCAACAAATCGCGCAACCAAGTTCATTGTATGTGGTTGCGTCACCTCGCAGATTTTCATCATGCTAGCACATTTAGTTGGGGCTCCGCAGTTTTGGCATTTCTATATAGGGAAATGTATCGAGCTACTGACTATAGAAAAAATCCTATCGACGGATGTCTCATTCTTCTCCAGTCTTGGGTGTGGTATCGCATGCCCTTTTTATGTCCGGTGGTGAAAATCCCATTGGTATTTCCGCTATTATTTAGGTAATTTCAATATTGATTTTGTATATTAATAATTTTATTTAGTATATAATAAAAAATATTTCATTAAATAGACGGTCAAGTGCAAGAAAATATCATTGGGATTTACCTGATGAATTTAAAGAAATTAGGTTACTCACTGATAAGAAGGTTGGTACAGAGGTATATATTTAAATATTATTATCTACTTTTAATTATCGTTATATAGTTAGAATATTATTTTGATAAGAATTATATATATTTGTTTTAGTTTCAATGGACTCCTTATTCTACTAAAGAGATGAGGATTTGTATCCCACATCACTTAAGGGGCCCATTAGATGTTTGGATGACGGTGGTCCCTCTTATATGTTATGCTATTGTCAAGTGGCATCCCACTGATCGTGTGCTCCGCCAATTTGGTTTTTTACAATCTATTTTGGAAGCACCTAAGAATCTCAACGATTTGCATATCATCGATAGAGGGGGCAAAAAAATCGACTGGCTGCTGAAGCACATTGAGTGGGTAATGATATGGGAGGATCGACGCGGGCGTATTCCTCATATAGAACCCATTTATGTGGATCATTACTCGGTTGCGGATGATTATTATTAGTGGTTCAACATGAACATGAAATTGTTCCTACTTTCTAAGGAAGCACGAGGCGGAAGCATTCATCAATGTCGATAAAAATGTCCATAGTCACAGCATCATCGTCCCTCTACTCGTGGATAGAGAGCAAGAGCTTCCGGCTCGTCCTCAACTACAGAATTGGAACCATCATAATAACCAACGTATACACCGTTGTACATTCCGCAATTGTTTCAGATGGCACCGCAACCGTATCAGATGGCACCGTAACCATTTCATATGCCACTACATCCGGGTCAGACGCCACCACCACAAAGTTTTATGACCCCTCCTGGAGGATATTATACTTACATGCTTGTAGATCTAACTTGGGGTTCATAAGTTGATTATTTGGCGGGTGAAGCTTCACCACATGCATAGACACCTCCTGTACAGTTTTTACACTCATCGATGTCAGTCTTTTCGTAGATTTCATAGTTTTCTATGAGCAGTGGGATAACCAGTCATACACATCTAGGGTCTTTATTCTATAGAAGTGCTACATCGTCATTCATCTCTCATCAACAAAATGTATCTGCTCTTGATGATGATGAGAGTGAGGAGTTAGAACAAGTTATACGAAGAAATCCTCCTCAACACAGATAGCCACCACCCTGTGAAACACATTCAAGATGTCGACATTGATAGAGTTTCTAACATCCTAAAAATCGGGTTAGTAACTCAATTGTAAAACTTTAGAATTTAGTGAATAAAGTAGATAAATTAAAAAGTTCAAGGACTTAAATGGAAAATTTTGTGTAGGATTGAATTGCAAAGAATGATGAATAAAAGGACAAAGTGGTTATTTGGTAAAGAAAATAATTAAATTTGGTAGTGGTTATATTTAAACCACGTGGAATTAGGGAGGCAAAAAGCAAAATTTTCCAAAGAACTCTTCTTCTTCTTCTTCTTCCTTTAGGCGTGAAAGCTAATTGGAAAAGGTGGGTTCCTTGTTAAGTGATTATTCATTGAATTTAAGTTCAGGTTTATGTTCTTTAGATGATACTTAAGCTTAAGGAAAGCTTAAGTTATCTTAAAACTATAAGATGAATGAATTATGTGGGATTAAAGATAAAGAGTTTTTAAATGAAATCTTGGAAAAGATTTGAGAAGTAGAATTTTAAACTAAATTTGATTTTTCATTAGTTGAATTAAGAGATATGAAGTGGTAGAATTGAAATTATAATATGTTGGAAATTTGGTAGAATTCTTAAATTCAAGATATAGGAGGAGATTTGAAGATAAAGATGTGTTAGATGAACATAAATTGGTTTGAGTATGTGTACTTGAGTTAAGAATATGAGAGGGAATAGGAAATGAAGGAATTGAGCTGATAAGGGTAAATTTTTGGGCTTAAAAGTGAAATACGGGCTTTGAGTATCTGTACTGCTTCATTCAATACCGATACTTCAAGAGTAAAAGAGTGATAATTGGTATAGGGGTATCGATACTGGTTGAACAGTATCGATACTGGTTGAACAGTATCGATACCATAAGTTTGAATTTGACAAAGGCAGTCACGGGGTATCGATACCTGGAGGGTAGTATCGATACCAAGGGCATCGATACCATAAGGTCAGTATCGATACCAAATTTTGAAACAATGATTTCGAATGAAAAACGGGTATCGATACCACGCTTGGTATCGATACTACAGCTAGGAAAGTATCGATACCCTACAGGAGGTACTGATACTACTTCATGTAGAAAATGAAATTTAGTCTTTCTTTTATTCTAAGAAATTAAGTATCAAATCATGATATTTTGAATGTTGATATGTGAATAAATGTATGATTATGTAGATATCAAGTATAAGCAAGTTCCTGAACAATCGAAGAATTAGAAACGGTCGAGAGAGAGATACAGTTCTAAAAATTATTCGAATCAAGTGAGACTAAGGTGAGTGCATACCATAGTTAGTATAGATATTGTTTTATGGAAATAAGACTTGTGATAAGTCTATTTCCTATATTTGATTTCGTGATTTCATATTCATGTGCATACATATGTTATGATTATAATGAGTACATGCATAACTTATGTAGACACGTCTTTTCGTCCGAAGATTTTTTGCTATTATTTTATAATTTTATTTTGATTATGTTATGTTATTTTATTTTATGTTATTTTTTGATAATTATATAGTAATGTAGTATGATAAATAGATAATAAAGTATGGTATATATAGTAATTTAGAAAGATAATAAAATATAGTATGGTGTCAGTTTCGATTTTTTTAAATATATATATATATATATATATATATATTATTAAATTTAGTATTATTCATTTGTCACGTATTATTTGATTGTACGCCCAACTGATTTGTAGCCAAATTCAAGGTGGAAATGGGTGATCCATCCAGATAGCAGTCCAGTGGATTAGGACCTGAGAAGAACCCGTAACCCGTTAGGGTTTATATATGGAAGTGTTACCCAGCGCCGCCTAAGGAACAACCATTGAATCATAATGGTGATTTGATATTCCAACTATGCACGCATGAGATGCACGCTTGAAAAACTACCTCGGTTTACCTGCAATATTGAAATAACGAATCAGTATGTGAAATTAACCAGAAAAGTCGGGATTCACTTATCCACCAACGGAGAGAGAGGGAAGCATGAAATGGGGGGTTTCTTTTAGCAGTTAAATAATTGTAAATGGGAGTTTTCTTTAAATAGATTATACAGAGACAAAAACAGAGGGGAGGGGGCCAGAGACGAAAAAAAGGAAAAAACCAACAAAAAACACAGAAAAAAGGAAAAAGGCAACCAAAGGGAGAAGACTAGGAACAAATTGGCCATTTCACAGTGTAAAAGGGATACAAAAGGAACAATAGTGTAATCTCATAATTCAAGAATAGAAAAAGCA